TTTTAAAAAGTCTGAGCTATTTTATCAATAAAGGATATTTTGTAATAAGTAAGCTGTGTCCTTATTGCCCAAGGAGTGCCAGGAATAGTCACTCCTCAGTCACTTGCACAGCCAACTCTGAGTGTTGGCCCACTGAGCTGGGACCTCTTCCCAGGGCTGGTTTTCCTCTGTTCCCCCAGATGTGGCTGGCTGGTACTCCTACCCCCACCCCACCTACCTGCCTTTGTCCACTTAACTGCCTTACTCAACAGTTAGGCTTACCCTTGCAAGCCAGTGCGACTATAGGTGTCCAGAGGAGCCTGAGATTGGTTGCCTGGGAATGAACAGAAGGGAGGAGGGCTTCCAAGAGAAGGTGGCCTTTGGGTTGGGTCTTGGCGGAAGGGCAGGAGTATACCAAGAGTCAAGTAAGGAAGGTGTTTGGGGAAGGGGAAGGACACATGCAAAGGATACTGTGTTGAGTGGATTTGTGACAGAGTTTGAGAGTCAGTCCCAAGCTAGCCCTGCTGGGGGTCCGGTGCAGCTGCCTTCCTGTCCCACCTAGCTGCCCTGAAAAGGGCAGCCTCTGAGGACTGAACTAGGACGGAGGATGGAGAGCAAGCAAGCAGCAGGAGGCTTGGTCATGGTGAGTGCTAGCCACAGACCTGGGAGGGGTGGGTGGATGGAAGAACTGTGAAGTCCCAGGGTCCTTGGTGTGGGGGTACCCTGCTTCTCCCACACTGGACCAGAATCTATACTTTTACCACCTCCATACTTCCATGGAGTAGTGATTCTGCTAGGGGCAACCAGTAGAGGCCCCAATATATCCACTATCATTGGTGGACACAGGGACATAGGCTTTGGTGAGGACTTAACAAGAAAGACATGACCTGTCCTGCTCCTATCTCTTCCCCCCTTCTTCCCAGGGGACCTCTTGCTGAAGCCCAGAGGCCTGACATAGGTAGATGAGGGTGGGTCATTGATTCCCTTTTACTGAGCTGCTGGCCCTTCTGGCACTTTGTCTAATTACATCACTTGATCCTTATGCTTACCCTGTAAGATAAGGATTAGCCATTTTGTCAGGAAAACCAGGCCTAGAAAGCTGTAATGACTTGCCCCAGGTTATCCAGGCCTGAGCTCTTTCCATAGCTTGAGGGTGTACAAAGGGCAAGTCTTTGGGCTTAGGAGCCCTGCACCTTCTCTGGATATAGTGGCAGAAAATTATCCTTGCTGGAGTAGGACTGTTTGCAAGCCCATTCTGAATGCATTATTTTATTTAATCCTCACAACCTGGCTGGGAGTGAAAACAGACTCAGGGTCAGCCGCTACATCCCAGAATCATAAAACTATGAAATCCAGATG